AGAGCCCTCCTGCCTTCCAGCAGATATTAATACCCCCTCATTTGCTCTGTCCCTGTGTTTACAATTATTCAGGGGGGTTATCTTTTGAAGACAACATGGATCACGTTGGCTTCCTGGAACACGAAGTGTAAAACTTGCTTGTTTTGGGCTTTTGTTTTTCTGTGTTAGGTGGTTTGCAGCCTAGGTGTGATCCTTGCTGTGGATTAGCACCTGTTTGGTCAGGACTGAGCAGCGATGCCATGGTGCTCAAGGGGCTGTAGAACAAATATTTTTACAATTGATTACCACTAAGATTCCAAACCATGATAATTTGAAGCCTTGAATACACACCAGCTGTGGAGATGGCAGCATTGCTATTTCAGATATGGCTAAAAGTGATATGATGCCTCCTGAAACAGTCCTTTGTTGAGCCCTGTTACAGTTTTACAGCCTGATGCTTACAATGCCTCTTCACAGTGACTGCTGCATTCTTTCTCACAGCTCCAGGATATCCTGGACATGAAGTAACACTGTGGTTTGGCCAGTCTGGATGGTGCGTTGAGCAACCTGGTCTAGTGGAAGGCAGGAACCCCTGGCAGAGGGATTGGAACTACATGATCTTTAAGGTCCCTTCCATCCCAAACCATTTTGTGACTCTATGGTTTAGCAAACAGTTGAGCTAATTTAACATCACTACTGAAAGGGTGACGTTTCATTTTTGACACCCCTTCCTCTATCGATTTTCATCGGACCTTTAGATGAACCTGTAGAACCTGCTAACCCAGCAGAAACCTATTTACCTCCTCTGATTGATTCATTAACAAATTGAAGTCTCCTTGGTTAACGAGCTGAATGAGTTTGTGGAAGGATCTAACAGACGTTAAGGTCAGCAGCAGTGAAAGAGCTGAGGGGCAGCAGTTTCACAGTACAGAATGAACAGGCTGTTTCATCTTGCTCTATGTTTTTGCATTACGGCTCATAGAACCTTGTCTGTCCATTGCTGTTTGATTTATTTTCCCTCTCATTAGTGCAAATATTTATTACTTATTTTCATGCATGAGTGGTTACAACATTCTTTGCTCCTAAGAAAGATACTGGTTTTGTATCCAGTTTCCAGTTAAGTAAAAGGCATCCCCCTAGCCCAACAAAAGATGCTCAAGAAAGTGTGTGATAAAAGGGGAAGCCTTTTTCTCACACAAACATGTTCTGAAAATAGAATCTCATGGACTACTTGGGCTTGATGTGGTGTCACTGTATTTAGTAGCCATTTGTGGGTTTGTTTTGATAACTTTTTGTTTTGCTCCTTAAATCCATGGAAACTCTTCTCATTGTTTTTTGTTTGTGTCTTCAAATGTGCTTTCTTCTATTTGTTACGTACTCGTGCACACACACAGAAAGATGAAGGTTTGATCTGTAAGCTCCTGTTTATAGAGCTGTAGTATAAACATACTTTGCTTTATCCTTGAAGACTTATTCTAGGATCATTTTCCCCCATGTTACACTTGTTTGTTGATCGCTGTGTAGCCTTTGCTCATGTGTACTGGTCATGGGAATAACAGTAGTTTTCCTTTGAGTTCCGCGTGCCCATAGTGAGGAAGAAACAAAGCTAAGTGATGTTGAGGCTTCTCACACTGTGGGATGTTGATTTCACTTGGCTTTGAGCTGCTATCTTTATGAGGGGCTGTAATTAACAGGAATTCCCACGTGTCTGAGATGGTATGCCAAATTCTCTGGTTTTCTTCCCGCATCTAAATCCAGGAATGGAGGAAGAGTCACTTCCGTGTGACGGATGCATTCTTGAATGAGGAAATGCGTTTCAAAGTGAGAAGTGAATGCAAGCATGATAACACCAGTGAGCCCAGCCAGTGGGTGGAGGCCTCCCTTCTGCCAAAAGGTAACACGAGCAATAGCCAGACCCAAGGCAGACCTGTCTCTCTTGGCCTGAGAAGACTCAGCTTTTTCTCTGCTGTTTCAAGAAGATACCATAGAGAAGTACCAGACACAAGGGCCAGCTCAATCGATAAAGCTTAAACAGAATGATTATACCACATTTAAACAAAACTGGGGTCTTCTGACACTTAAAACCTTATGGGCAAGTTTGTAAAATTTAAATGTTCTTCCAAAAAAAATGATGTCGTTGCTGTCATTCCTCTTGTCCCTGCTGTGTGGTGGCTGTGGGATAAGAGAGAACTTAGGTTGTATTGACCCTGCTGCCTTCATGACTAGCAGCTGAGTCAGTTTATTTTGTATGATTTTTCTGTACAAGCAGAAATCCCTAAAATAACCCTACATTCATATATGTTTGAGGAACAGTCTAACAAATTTAAGAACTTGTTGGATAAATGACTTAATTATAGTAGGCTTCTGTCTTTTGAAAAAGAGATGACTGGGGTCTACAAAACTCTGCACAGCAAAATGAATGGAGAAAAAGTATGTTTTGTTTCTTGACATGCAGAAGTAAGGAGTCTGCAGCAAAACTGTTAGGAAGCAGACTTCAAGGGTAATGTATTTTACTGAATGCTGGATCTTAGGATGTACAGCAAGGATACAGAGCCTCTTGCCTAAAAGTCTGTCTTAACTCAGGAGTGTGACTCGACGTGGACAAAAACCACATGCGGTTAGGAGAGTCAGAGACCTTATCAGGCCTGTCTGTGTGTCTGCCAAAGGGTATTCTGGAAAATCAGGGAAGCAGATCATTAGGACAGCATGTACTAAACAGGCTGGGGCTTTTAAAAGTCTGTTTGTGGATGAAATATTTTTAAGTACTTCTTGGAATAGGAAAATGAGTTTCATTTCCCTCTACTCTTAGTTGCAGCTTCAGGGAGAATGCAAGTTCAGTAGCTGAAGGTAGTTTGGGGTTTAACATGCATTTAATTTTTAGTTCGTGGAGATGTTGCTGCTTGTTACAAGGAAAAAATATCCACTATGCTGTAATGTGATAATAGAGTATAAAGGACTTGTACCATACAGAAATGCAAGATTGAGTATGAAAGACTTTATTCCATAACTGCTCTGTGTGGGAGGTACATCAACCTCTCTATTCACAATTGCTACATACTCATTTGTATTTATGTTATGTAATGTGAGTTTTCAGTACGTTGAATTTGAATGTCTAGAGGTATATGGGTCTCAGCTAAAAAGTTGACTTACGCAGTGTTGCTTTGGTCCATATTTAAGACCTACAGATATTTCCGTATCCAGGATATCAAGAAACTAATATTGTACCTGGAGAAAGTTAAAATAGTCAGCATTTAATTATAGTTAACATTGATGGCTGTAATTGCACTTAGCTTCGTTAGTTTTCCCTGTAATTGCCAGTTACTTTAACTCCTTTTTAAAGTACCTGTAGATTCATAGCACAAAATATTTTCCTGACTCAACACCTCGTCCATAGCATCAAGTATCTGTGTGCGGCAATTCAGACATGGTGAAAACTGAGACTTGCTATTGTGATTAGTTTGCATTTAGAAGTTACTCTGCTGAGATTTCAGCTATTGCAAGCTGTAAACAACTGGAATTCTTAATTTTCTGTGCTGAGGCAGTGCAGTCTGAGAGGTAACCAACCTATTTTTGCCTTCCAGATAGTTTCAGTTATGTAAAAAGGGATGTTTTGGAAAGAGGGGACAAGACTTTGCTGGCAAAATAAATCTTAGAGAACCTTTCCAACTTGCCTTGCAGGTGTTCCAGGTACTGCTGCTGTTAACTTGAGCTGTGTTTGGCACAATTTGGAGTACATGGCTTGCACATGGCATCCTGGGGAGAATGCAAGCAGTGATACCAACTACACCTTGTTCTATTGGTTTGTAAGAGCTTTTTATTCCCAACTCTAAAGTGCTTTAGCACTACTTCTTAGTTTGACACTGCATTCTACTTTTCTACTTCCTGTTGCGTTGAAAGGTCCCAGGACATTGTATATAAGTCAGTGTTTGGTCCTGTCAAACACAAAACTTCACTGCTGAAGGGTCAGAGGCTGCTGTGCCTGAGACATTTTGGCAAGTTGATATAACTGTCATGTGAAGCACTGTCTGCCTCTGTAGTCCATTTTAACGTAACTGCCTTTTTTTTTTTTCTAATTGGGCATTTGATTCAAAGAGGGAAGAACCTAGAGGTTCTGGAGGTTCTATTGGTCTAGAGAAGCTAGACCAGTATATTAATTGCTTTCTTTGCAGCCCAACCAAATGGGCTTTTTGAGTCAGAATCACTCATTGTGCACATGTCGGCTCATAAACCATTGGGCAACAGCATGAGAGCATTAATAACTCTTAGCAGTAGTTTTGTTTACCTCTGATGTCCTGAATAACTGATTCACCTTTAAAGTTATGAAGAACATAATTTCTTCATCATCCCTGCTGGACTGCCATAAATAGTCTCCTGTTCCAAAGGAACAGAGTTGTGGTGTAAGCAAACTCTTGGCATCAATATCTGTGCCTGCTAATCTATGCATACTTCAACACCTTGATGGGGCTTGTGAAATGCCAGATTGCATTGGCTTCTGTACAAATAGTGAAGTTTTCTTTTTGAAAACCCCATGTGGTAGTTTTAAATTAGCTTTCTGTCTGTCTTGAACTAACTGCATAAACTTTTTCCTCTTCCTCTCCAGTGGTACTCACAGGGTAGCTGTTTACTTCAAGGCATTTGGGCAGCAAACAGCAGAAAACTTGCTCTTTTAGTTAAATACAGGGATGGCTGTTTGTTCTCTCTCTGGACTGCTACTCAAATTTTTCTTTTTTAGAAGAACAGGATCAATGAGGCATTGAAAATCTGAATCTTGGGGTATATGGATACTCACTGGAATAATGCTTTAGATTTGAGCTATATATTTTCACCTTGCCCCTTAATTTTAATGGAAGATTTAGCTTCAGTGACTGCAAAGTGTTTTAATTCATACTGCTTAGGAAGAATAATAATTTTTAGATTTTTAAATCCAAAACCTAAGCAAACACTTTATTTTTAGACTGAAAGATAAATGCAGGTGAGGTTGGGTGGGTTTCTTTCATTTTGGTTTCCAGAAGTGAGTAAACAATTGCCTGAAAAATTATCGCCATTCTATATGATTGTTTGATATTTTCATCTAAACCAGTATGTTTTCATCCAAAGTGGACACAAATACAATGACAGCTTAGAAGAAACGAATCCAGGCAGTGCACAGTAACTACTGCTGAGACTGAGGTGTATGAGAGCAGGTTGATGCATCCATGCAGAGCTGCCTGCTCTGGATGCCTCTCTCCTCATCAGCCCCGGGGCAGGGAGGTGGGAAGCATGGATAAAAAATAGGTCTGTGCTGGAAACAGGACAGAAGGTTTGGCTTCCCATGCCTATATATTGAGATATGAAGTAGGGGAGTGTCACTCCTTTTGTCCTCCTAAATGAAGCTCTGATTTACTCTATATTCCTTTAAAATAAATAAATAATCTGCTTTCCTGGGAGGAAAAGCTACTTCCATATTTTCATTGGGGCTTGGGGAACAAAGAGAAGTGAGGAAGAAGTTTGTGTTAGCTTCTCTGTTATTGGAAGTCAATACTGACATTTTGAAAAATAAATGCAGGTAATAGGTGAAACTTGACTGTCTCAAGAGCTGCAATACCCAAGGCACAGCTAAAGGAGATTGATAGCTCATTCTATCACAGAAATGACTTCTGTTGGCAAGAAGTGGTCCAAATCAGTTTGCTTACTAAATATCTGTTTCCCTTGAAATTGTTTTCCCATGTAGAAAATGCGAACCAAAGCTGACAACAGCTGTTATCTCTGATGCTTTGCTCTAAAGCAAACCTGCCCCTTTCTGCTGCTTCTCTTCACAAAAATAATATTCTTTCTAAAGCTTGAGATAAAGGTTTCTTACTTTGCCTAGCTTTAGTTTTCTGTATGCTGTAGCACAGCTTTAATGCAAGATCATTCTCCTGAATTCATAACACAGGTTTAAAAGCAAGCCTGTCCCTCACTGTTCTTTTCTTCTGAAGTTTACAAAAATATTTTTATTCCTATAGGTTTGATGGCTTGGAAAGCCACAAGAAGTGCAGCAACTATTCTATACACCAAGGAATTTTTGGCTGCGTTTTCAATCTTAGCTTCCCCAAAGTCACCAATACTTACCCAACTATAAGTATTTTGATTAGAGATGATTCTGAAGACATCAGGCCTGTGTGTGCCAGTAAAAACCCTACCACCCTGGGTAAGTTTAACACCACATCATAGAAAAATAACTAAAATAAGAAGTTTGGTAGAATATTGTTGTGTTTGAGAAACTTGCGCCTCATAAGGTGTGTATGAGACAACTCAATTAGATGCTCCTTCTTCTGTTGATCTTTGGTTTGAAATTATATAGACAAGATTTGTTTCATGGGGGTGGGTGTTTGGGGAGTGGAAGGGTCATTTCCCACTCGCTTCTACTCTTATTCCTTAGTTGGCTTTATTCTTTCTTGACTCTTTGGTGCTAACTCTTTCCTCTTTCTGTTCCTAAACTGGTAAGTGTAATAATCTGCAATACAGGACTTGAACAATTTTTGTGAAATAGACTTTTTAACTAATTATTCCACTTTGCATTTCAGTGAAACCTGCTACACCGAGACAAGTGACACTGTCAAAGGTTAATGATGAAATAAATGTCAAATGGAGTGAATCAGAAACCATTCCAGAAAGTTGTTTATCTTACGAAGTTATATATTACTCTGGTGATTTGGACGAGGCTTCACCAATTATAGTAAGTTTTCATTACTGATTTTTTTTTTTTTCCCCCTATGTCTCTTTTTTGTAATTGGTGTTGATATTCACAGTAACTTAAATATTTGCTGTTGAGAATGAACAATTATATGTGCTGCCTGTGAATGGATCTGGTGCAGCAGCTGGAAGTGGTGTGTGAATGGAAGGTTTTTCTCTCATGCAGTAGGTTTTTGTTAATAATAATACCTGTGCACCAAAAATCATACAAGTCTTCTGAATCCTTATCATCACTTGTTAGGGCAAAGCAGCCCTGTAAGAACAGTCCCATAAAGAAGTATATACTCAACTAAATGATGCTTATTAGGAAATACACTGTTTGCTCCTCAGGGCTCTGGGCTTTGATGTGCCAGCGCTGGGTTTTCCTGCCCTTGGTCTGTGTGTGGTCAGGTGCCAGCCTTGTTCTTGAGTAGAGTGACCTGATTACTGTAAAGAAAAATCAATTGCTGGTGCACACAAGAACATAATCTTATACAGATAAGCAAGGAAGTAAAAAGCCTGAGGATGGAGGGGAAGAAAGGGGTGTGAACTCTACACTGATTTTAATGTATGTGTGAAAAGGATCAAGTTTAGTGTCTGGATATACTCAGGCTTGTATCTGCATAGCCAAACTGACTGTACTGTTTGGTCAGAACAGTAAACAACATGATAAATTTCAAAGTAAGTAGCAGTCTCCTCTTGTGGAGCACATTTAGTTGTTTATTCTACCTCAAAGTCTAATGATATCAACATTCCTCACAAAACTGGCATTTTGGATCAAAAATAAGTGAAGTTCCATCCTATCTAGTGTGTGTGCTTCTCTGTAGAGGCATCACAGAACACTTTGCTATGGTCAAAATTAGATCAACATTTCTGCCCTGCCTGGGGAAGGCAGTGAAAGTTACACATGTTTGTCAAGAGAAAAGCAAATCTTTAAAAAGGCACTTTTCCAGGCACGGGCTCTTAGTTTAATCATTGATGCCAAATGCTGGATAATAGATGTGGCAGTGAATGAGATTAAATCTTAGCGTTGAAATCACTGTTTAGGCAGTCTGTACTGGTTAAATGTCCATTTTTAATGAGGTTCAGTAGTCATAAAAAGATCATCTCTCAAAACATTCAGAACACATTAGCTGCACAGTGCAAATAGGCTTGGAAATGACTGGGAATACGTTGGTAATTGCCCAAAACAAATTACATTTTCCTTTTACCTTAGGTTGAAAAGAATTCTGCATCAATTCCTAGCATTGTTCCTAATACCAAGTACACCATCAAAGTGAGAGCATATCTAAAGCCTGAGTGTTACAGCACCAAGTTCTACAGTGACTGGAGTGAAGAAGCGAGCATTGGTGAGAGCAGCAGTTCCTGTGTTTTGTTGCACTTTATTCTTCATCTGTAAGGCATCCTAATACCTTTTTGTCTGCTAAATAAATGGCAGCCAAAGACAGTCTTCCTATGCAACTATTTAATTTTGGGTGAAAAGAGGTCAAGAGACTTCTAGTCCTTCAGCAGTGCCATCGGTTGCTGCCGGTATGGCTGTGTGTGTTGATGGTGTTACCATCCCTGTAACTGTGCACTGATCTCTTTCCAGCGTGGCCAGTTTTCCAGGCCTGAGTCTTGCTGGTTTGCATGTTCTTGCCAAATACATCTACATTATAATCTCATTTTTGAAAAGTCAGTCTTTCCTTGCCTATGAAAGTGCTAGTGCATTTGAAAAAGTATTGAGTATATGAACAAATTAGAGAATTTGTTCTGTGCTCTCATGAGACCCCACCTGGAACACTGCTGGCAGTTCTGGTGTTCTCAACACATGAAGGGCATGGAACTGTTGAAGCAAGTCCAGAGGAGGCCATGAAGTTCATAAGAGGACTGGAGCATCTCCCCTATGAAGACAGGCTGAGGAAGCTGAGGCTGTTCCGGGGGGTCTGTGGCTGCCTCAACCCTGGCAGTGTTCAAAGCCAGGCTGGATGAAGCCTTGAGCAGCCTGGTCTAGTGGGGAGGTGTTGGGACTTAGATGATCTGTACATTCCATTCCAACCCCTAAATTCTATGATGCTATGAATTAATGAATTTGTTGTCATTATTCCTCAAAAGCCTCTCAAAACATCCCTAAGTTTCTACAATGTTTGTTTTCCAGGTGAGAATACAGACTCGACATTGCATTTTGTTTTAATAATCACCATTCCAATAATAGTAGCAGTATCTACAATAATTCTACTAGTTTATCTAAAAAGGAACCCCTAAATTCTATGATGCTATGAATTAATGAATTTGTTGTCATTATTCCTCAAAAGCCTCTCAAAACATCCCTAAGTTTCTACAATGTTTGTTTTCCAGGTGAGAATACAGACTCGACATTGCATTTTGTTTTAATAATCACCATTCCAATAATAGTAGCAGTATCTACAATAATTCTACTAGTTTATCTAAAAAGGTAAGTAACACTCTCCCTTTCTTTGCAGTCCACTAATTCTGATTGGTCTTTGACTTGGTACAACTGACCTCTCTTGCAGGTAACTGTCCATGATGTGGCATATTTCAATAGCATCTGGTTTATCCATGACATGTATTGCATAACAAGCAATTGACAGAGTTATAGACCACATACAAGCCCTGATGGCACTTGGGTAGCATTGCTGAGAGCTGTACAGTGAGATTCTTGTTGCACAGCTATTGCAGCCTGTCTCTTTAAGCAATGAAGTCTAAAGTCAAAATGAAACTTAAAGCTAAAGTATATTTTACCATGTTTTAAGGAAAAGTCTACATTGGCTGCTGTCTTTGTCAAGAGTGAAAGTTACTTAGAATCTGTCAGTGTTCCCATTTCCTTTTGCTTTGAGGAGTAAAAATAAGAAACTGGTGCAGTTACACAGAGAATGAAGACTGGCCAGGGATGCCAAAGCTGACGCCACAGATTTTCTTGACTGCACCCAAATATGACTTTGGTGACTTTTAAATTAATATATTTTCTTTTTAATTTAATGAAGGCTGAAGATATTAATTCTTCCACCAATTCCGGACCCTAGAGAAATACTTAAGCGCATGTTTGGAGAGCAGAATGAGGATTCCCAGGTTAGTAAGAAGCTGTTGGACTAACTAATCTATTGAACTGGGATCTCTAGGCTTCCAGTTGTTTTTCCTACTACCTGTGTCTATCTTAAAACCAACTGTATATCATATGAAGATAAAGTATTTACAGTAGTAGGAGTTGTTCAGAAACAATTACCCAAAACAGATTTGTTTTTTATTCCCCCCTCAAACTGCATATACTTTTCTAGTTACACTAGTGAAATTTCATCATTCTGTTTTTTCATACTGCTAGCTCCTTAAATGTATTTCAGGTTGGTTTTTTTGGGTGGGGGTTTTCTGATTGTCAGAATTGTTTTGCCTTGTGGGTTGTGGTTTGAGGTTTGTTTGTTTGTTTTTGCAACTCTGTTAAGCTACTTCTGCTGAACATTCATGTCTTTCTGCTAGTTGCTCATATTTATGATGCTGAATAAAGCTATTCATATTTGATTTCCAGAAACTTATATTTTTAGCACTTCCACATTTATCATAGTCAGTAACTATGAAGTAAATCAGGACACTTAGCTTCTCACTGGCAAAGGAACAGAACTAGCTATAGCTGCTTCAAGGTTGAAAGACTTGCTATGGTACCTTATTTTGGGGAAAAAAATGAACATAATATTGATTATGGAAACTTATTTCTAAACAAGTCTATCTCCATAGCCCTTTATAAAAATCCTAAAGGAAGTACACTGAAAAGCTCTAATTCAAACCTGGACATGAGGCAGTGTATATTGTTCTCTAAGATGGGGCTCTTGGCCATGAGGACCATAAGTATGGTAGCTGTTTGTCATGCTTTGCCAAGTGCTTTGTTACTGCCCCAAGCAATGCTATGTTCTTGCCTCTAAGTATTATTCTGATTTTCTCTGTGCTCAGGGTCTCAGTCAAAATGGTATTAAGTGTGTACATCCTCCACTGTCCATCCTCCTGCGTGAGCTACACCCATTAGCTGTAGCTGGAAGCACTCTCAAGGTGGGGACTAACCCTTAGTTCCTCATCTCCAGAGAGGAAAACTCTTCTGTCAACCAGGACTAAGCCATGTCTGAAAAGCACAGTTTGTTACTCAGCTATCTTGGCTTTTTCACCACAATATAGGGTATATGTTGTGAGTAGGGGGTCTGTCTTTTGGAGCTGAAAAAGCAACACTTACCATGAAGAAGCACTACTAAAAGTGTTGTTCCTCTCTTTCAGAGCTGTGCAAAGGATGAGTCTTTTGTGAATGCTTATGACAAGTTAATTATGGAAGAAGAAATTCATTCTTTAATTTTAACAGAGACTTCAGAGAGCATCAATTCTGAAAATGAAAACAGATAAGCTCTGCTTTGTCAGTGAAAGAGGAGGAAACTCATTACTGCTCCCATACCTCAGGTGACAATGTAGATGTGAAGAGGCCTGTGAGACATGTGAAACATGGACCAACTTTGTCCTTCCTGATCCCTGCTCTGACGTGTAGAAGATGCATTGCTACCAGTGGCTGTTCTTCCATCTCTGCTAGAAATACTCATCTGAGATCACTCAAGATGGGCATGTACATAAATTCCTTGTGACTGCATTGCAGCATCTCTTGTTCTGCCTTCAGCCAGCTCTGCCCTGTTGCTTGTCACTTGTGTTTGTGCCTCATGTGAGACTGTCAGTGGCCTTTTCTGGGAACAAGCACTGTGACTTCGCTGAAGTATTTGGCTTTATTTTGCAGCAGCTGAGATGACAGTAGGTTGCTCATTAGTGCTACTAGGTGGAGCTGATGCCAGGTAGGATGCAGGAACATGGACTGTTCATGGATGGCCTCTTGTGTGTGCACCCAGGCAGAGCACTAATGGACTGACCTTCTTGTGCTTCTGCTTGATGTGCATCAGCTGTGACCTGGTCAAATCCCATAAATGAGGGTGTTTTTTGCCTTGAAAATGTGTATGAAAAGCCTCTCAGCCTTCCAGCTAGTATTCAGAATATTCATAGAAAAGGCTTAGTTGGTTTTTTTTTTTCTCCCTTCAATTGCCTGTCCTCAGATGCCCTCATGGACTTCTTGGGTTAATTATGCTTTGTTTAAAATGATAAATAGAATGTGTGAGTTGTGCTGTGCAGTGGCAGATAACTGTATTGAGTCTTACTAGACTGTGATTCTACTTTGGCCATATTGGCCTGAGAACACCTGATTTTTTGAAAGCTAAGCCATCCTGAGTCCATCCAGCAAAATTACCCAGATGGCTGCATGAGTCTTAGGAGGTTGTATCAAATTTTTTATTAGCAAGTGTTAAACCACTGAAACTGAATTTATGCAAAGGCTTCAAAACCCATTCTGACTGCCAAGCTGATGGATTTGGGTGAAGAGGGGATGACACCCTTAGCCTGTTTTCTAAGGGATGAGTCTTACTCTTCCTATAGTGATAAGACTGTTATTTAAGCTTACCCTCTAGGAGCTTAGGAATATAAAACAAGGTGCTGATTTGACTTAAAAGAACCCCAACTTTCTTCTGTATTTTACTGCAGCAACTTCATGACTTTTTTTTTTTTCAGTCGTTAACTGTTTTTTTAATTTTTTGGTGGTTTTGTTTAGAGGGTGCTTTACCCAGCAAAGCTCAACAGATGTTTTCTGGCACAACTGTGGTATTTCTCAATTCTGAATTCTGAGCATTAGTTTCCACTCAGTGTTGCAAGGGTGATAACAGCAGTAGCTTGATTGGAAGGAAGAAAGTAATGTAATGGGGAGAAATGGGTCAATGCAACCTCTTTATGGTTAGTGTTCGGGAATTTCTCCTTCCAGCTATGTGCAGGCACATTAGTCATTGACACAGTCAGTCTTAGCAAACTGGGAAGAGATCTCCTGATAAGGTTGCTAGGAACAAACTCCATAGCTACTAACCTTTTAAAGTTCATCCCTGTCCTCAAACTCCATTCAATCAAAGACCTGAAACAAAATGCTACATTTTTAGAATATATGGTTCTGTGAGAAGTAGAACAAGTGCCACTTGCTTT